TTTTGAGCTTGATGCTAAAGGACTACTACGTTATAGAGGCATATTATGTATTCCAAATATTGGTGACTTAAGGAAAGAAATTCTTTAGGAAGCTCATTATTCAAGTTACACCATACATCCAGACAGTAACAAAATGTATCAGGACTTAAATGAAGTGTTTTGTGGTTAGGAATGAAGAGAAGTGTGACAGATATTGTATCAAAGTGTACTTCATGTCAGATGGTGAAAGTGGAACATCAGAAACCAGGAGGATTTCTACAGCCTTTACCTATACCTGAGTGGTAATAGGAAGATATTGCTATGGATTTTGTGGTTGGTCTATCTAGATCCAGAAGAGGATGTGATGTTTTATGGGTGATAATTGATAGGTTAACTAAGTCTGTACACTTTTTACCTATCAAACAATTTGATCTAGTTGAAATTGGCAAGCCTGTATATTAGCGAGATTGTCAGATTGCATGGGGTATCAAAGTCTATAGTATCAGATCAGGATGGAAGATTCACCTCCAGATTGTGAAAAAAGGTTTAAGAAGCTATGGGTACTAGACTTGCTTTAAGTACAGCTTTCCATCCTCAAACAGATGGGCAGGAAGAAAGAATCATCCATACTTTAGAAGATTTGCTCAGGTTATGTGTTTTGATTTTGGTGGTAAGTGGGAGACATATATACCACTGATTGAGTTTACCTACAACAATAGTTTTCAAGTAAGTATTGGTATGGCTCCTTATGAGGTTTTGTATAGGAGGTGTAGAACACCTCTAAGTTGGGCTAAGATAGAGGAAAAGAAGATTATTGGTGCTGATTTGGTAGATGATGCTACAGAAAAGATAAGGATGATTTGTGACAGATTGAGGGAAGTACAAGATAGACAGAAGAAATATTATGATGCCAAACACCAACCAGTTGAATTTGAGGTGGGAATGTTTGTTTTCCTTAAGGTCAGTCCGATGAAGGGAGTGAAGAGGTTTGGTAAAGCAGGAAAGTTGAGCCCAAGATATATAGGTCCTTTTGAATTTTCAGAAAGAATTGAAAATTGAGGGAAGTACAGGAAAGTTGAGCCCAAGATTGAGGGAAGTACAAGATAGACAGAAGAAATATTATGATGCCAAACACCGACCTGTTGAATTTGAGGTGGGAGTGTTTGTTTTCCTTAAGGTCAGTCCGATGAAGGGAGTGAAGAGGTTTGGTAAAAGAGGAAAGTTGAGCCCAAGATATATAGGTCCTTTTGAATTTTCAGAAAGAATTGAAAAAGTGGCCTATAGGTTGATTCTACTAGCACACATGAGTGGAGCACATAATGTGTTTTATATTTCTTCTTTAAGAAAGTATATTTCAGATGAAGCCCAAAAGATTAGTATTGAAGTGGTGGATATTCAAACAAACTTGACTTTTGTGGAAGAACTTAAAAAAATCATTGATTATGATGTTAAACAGTAGAGAAATAAAAAAAATCCCTTGTTTTATGGAGACATGGTTCAGAAAAAGATGCAATTTGGGAGGAGTCAGAAATGAGTGAGAACCACCCTCATTTATTTGGCCAAGGTATGACTTTAATTTATGGAATTGCTTTTAAATTTCGAGAACAAAATTTTTATTAGGAGGAGAAAATTATAAAACCCAAAATCGACGATTGTAGGCGTCACACGCATTTCAATGCGTTGCGACAAAATTTAAGTGAAAATTTAAAGTTAACAGATTTCGACGGAAATAATTTTATAAAATTCTACGCAAAATTTTGTACGATTTGATATGTAAAACATATATTTAATTTTGCTAAATTTTGGAGATAAAATTTTTAGAAGTCTAAAAATACCCAAACTACCTCTAATTATTTTTAAAGCCGAAATGTTTTAAGTGAGGGCATAGCGGTCTTTTGACAATACCTATCTTCCTAAATAAGGAAAATCGAACCCCCTTCCCTCATATTTCTTTCGGCCAAAGTAACGAAGAAGGGAGCCGATGGACGGGTGAGGCGTATGCGGCAAGGGCTCTGGCAGCTCCGGCGATTATTTTATGGCTAGAAAATTTGAGGAAATCATAGAGGAGACTAAGGGGAAGAAGAATGTATGTTTTATTTGAAGCAAAACCCTCTCATTTTTAAGATTTTTGGAAAGGAAAAATTTAAGTTTTTTCCAAAAATGCGTTTTTCTTCCAAAACTTATTTACAAAATCAATAAGAAAGGTTTAGAGAGGTGTTTTAACGATAGAAATGAAAATTTTCTCAAATTATTTTGAGATTTGAAAATAAGAGTTTTTACATAAACTTTTAATTTATTAAGGTGCTTTTACAAAAACGATTTATATGGGTATTATGAATGTTTCTAAATAAAAAATTTGAATTTTCTTAAGAAGTTGTATTTTTCATAAAATAAATTTAAAAATTAATTAACCTAATTATTAATTAGGTTTAGGAGAATGTTTAGCTTGATGATATGATGAAATTGATGATTTAGGGATTCTTAAAAATTGGATTTTTAATAAATCCGAAAATAGAATTTTAATTATCTTAATTATTGAAAATATCTATGATTTATGCTTAGTCTATTTGTAATTATCCTTAGGTGTGGATTAAGGAGACGACAAGTGTCTAAGCGACATCGTGAATCGTAGTGGTTATTTGATACTTATGAGGTAGGTGGTTACATTTAAATTAAGTCGATAAAATTTAATTAAGTTAATTTTGCACTTTCAAAATTTCATATGCTAATGTTTATGAATTCTTTATTTTGCTTTAGTTTTTCATTAATTGTTTATATTTATAACATGATATTAGAATGTTAAATATTTTAAACAAAACTTAAGGCATAAATGATACCATATTTATTACTCGAAAAATATTGAAGAACATATAATTTTATGAATAATTTTTGTTTCCTTAATGTATATAAATATTATGAATTTGCATGTGCATGATGATCCAGAGTACCAAATGATAATGAGGTTCTATGGAGCCAAATGGTAAAAGGTTCTACGAAGCCAAATGATAATAGGGTTCTTCGGAGTCAAATGGTCAATAAATGACCAATGACTGTGTACCTGATCAGTACAAAACTCTGGTACTTCCGAGATGGGTGCTTATTATATATTATGATTATGTAATTTATACATTTAATGGAAGGATTTAAAGAAAGAAAAGTTTATGAAAAAGAAAGGAAAAAAGATTAAGGGAAAATGTTTCAAGAAATAATTATGGAAATATATGTTAATTTATGCCTACAAATATTTATTATGATATTTTATTGTTTCAATTTCTATTTAATGACATGTTTAAAAATAGTTCTTGAATTTAAGTTAAATGTTTATCACCTGTTGAGCGTTGGCTTATCCTACGATTGGAAATGTTTTTAAGGAAATAGTGTTAAGAAGTGATGACAATGAGACGACAGTACACCTACCTTCGTAGAGGATCTCAGGAAGAAAGGTTTTATATTTTCTGTTATGTGTAGGAGTCAGTGGTTTATAATGAGGAGTCTATTGGAGTTTATGTTTATATTTATGCTATGTTTTTAGTAGTTGTGTTTTGAAGATATTATTAGAACCATTATGTTGATGGTTTAGTGGCTATTTCATAAGTTGTTTGGATGACATTTAAGTTTATGCCTTTTATGATATAAATTGTTATCTTTTAATTATTTTATATGTTTTTCCGTACGACTGTCTGTTCCCGTCCTATTAATTCGGGCTAGTCGGGCCGGGTCGTGACATTTAGTAGTGAATCTTTATGATAATAGACCTTTATGATCTAATATGAACATATAAAATCAAATACTCAAGTCGGCACCATGACTGTGTATTTGTTCAGTAGTTCATATCGTATCAACTCTCTATTCAAAGAGATGGATTAGATTTGAACTTAAGTTTATTTATTTATTTTTTTGACCCTCATATCATCCTCATATGTCACATGTGTACATACATCACGCTCGTCGGGGCCTATGCAGGTATTTCGTTTCCTTCAGATATCATATATATTTCCATGCGTTTCACATGATATATTTGCAAGATGACTATTGCATTTGGTATGATGTACATGTTATACATATATCATACTTGTATGCTTTTAGTAATAGTTGATAAAATTTTCAATTTTCAATATCTAATTCTACTGCTATACACTGGGCACTAAGTGACTATTCTAACAACTAGCCTTAATCGAAAGTTCTCTCTCGTTATCAGGAAGAATAATTAACTATAGGGGCTTGTGCCTATAGGAAACCTGAACTCATATCATAAAATCCTCACAAAAATGAGGGTGAAATCTCTGGGTAGTATCTTATCTAAATCCCAATATGCTTTTTGAAAATTTATCTTGGAACTTGAACTCGTTAAAGCCCTCCTCACCGACATAAGAAAGGAAAGCGCCACGGAGAGGCCGGGGCACAAATTTATGGAGCCCACAGTATGATTCAACGTTAAAGTATAATATAATTAATTTAACTTTGTTTTATTGGATATGGTTGCATATGGTTAGTTATTATCTAGTCTTTGGAGTAACTTATGTCAAATTAGTCCACACGGAGATTTGAATTTATAGCATATTTTTCTTATTGAATAAATTGCTTAGTTTTCATTATATAGGTCAATTATTATTTTTTTTTAAATTATTATATATTTTTTGTACTTTGAGCCCCCTCTGTCAAATAAGTGTACAAGGAATCATGAATGAATTACGTTTTTTTACCTTTTTCTAAATTTGTTAATTCACTCAAAATTTTCCTAGAATTTCTTGATCATGCGTGTTACCTGTATATATTTTACTGTGTTTTTACTTCTTAGCTCTCACAAATTCTGGTGTCCGAACTCAGTTTAATACTTTGCTTCTCATACTTTTGTAGCAATATTGTGATTCATAAAATGGGCTAACAATACTGTTAAATTAATTGCTTCTCTCCAGGATTGCATTAGCGATTAAATGTTTTCACTCATGTTTGTTTACTAATCATAATAATATCTATATTCCACTATGTTTGTGTATTAACATTTTTAATGTATTGTTTAGGTCATAAATGTGTATAATCAAGAATATGAGAGCGCAGCAGCATTCTGGCCGGATGTCCATGGTCGCATAATCTGTGCACTGATCATATCACAAGTTCTTCTTTTAGGTCTGCTAAGCACCAAAGAAGCTGCGAATTCAACTCCTTTTCTCATTGCTCTTCCTATATTGACAATATGGTTTAATAAATTCTGTAAGAGCCGCTATGAGTCAGCTTTCAAGAAGTACCCACTACAGGTAATTATACTGTGATCTTTAATTTTATTATTATTATTATTATTATTATTATTATTATTATTTTTTTGCTGTGATCTTTAATTTAAATTGACTGCATGGATGATAAATAAGTATAACAGAAAATTTAGTTTATTGATTTGCTCTTTCTATTATTGATGATTAAGCATAGAATTAGAGTACTTGTACCTATTGGAGAATGGTATCAACGAGATGTGCATTAACATAGATATTTATTACTGTATCAATTATTATCAACGTGATGTGCATTAAAATAGATATTTATTATAGTATCAATTATTATCTATAAATTATGGTTAGAAATAGGGATAATCAATTAGTATAATTGTATCAATTATTATCTATAAAGTAAGTCCCGTTGGGTTGGAGATATGCTAACAAGCCGGCATATTGATACGTAATAAGCAAACTATTCGGAATGCTAATACCTTTAAATACTAAATAAATGTGAAGATTATCACGTATGATGCATCGACATTTCTCCTCAAAGAAGCGTGCAGTGTACGACACGACACGAGTCCAAAACTCCTCCGACATGTGTCGGACACGCCGAGAACGTCCCAGTTTAAAAAAAAATATTAAATACAAATTGGACACGCGTGTCTTAAATATTTTATGAATTTTCTTAAATATAATTTCTTGTATTTATTTTTTTATTTATTTAAAATATAAAAAACTAAATTACTTATTTCCTATCCACAACGTCAAATCAATCGTCCGCACTTGATATCCCATTCATCAAATATTCTCATTTTCATTTCTCTTTGGCAGATTACGACTTTGATTTCACAACAATGTCCGATGTCATCTCAACATCGAAATATGACATCGTTACAACATCACCATTTCAAAACAATCTCTATATCAAAGTATGACATTGTCTTGATATTGATGCTCGACGCTAGCAATTTCTACACCCACAACTTGACATCTCATCTTTGTATGACACTTTCTCAACATCGGTGACCAATGCTATCTCAACATCAACGATAAACACCCTCTTAACATTGATGTCCGATATTTACTGCATAACATCGATGCCTGACTCTCGGCAGCATTGTCGTCTCCTCTCTCGATAAATGATAAACAATATCGACACCCGACTCTCAACATCCTAATATTAATCATTTAAATCACAAATTATAGTTAAATGACTTATCATTTCTAAATTATTTTTAATATTATACTCATTTAATTTTTATACACTATTTTTAAAATATAAAAACTATAATGTCATTTCCAACCTGTGTCCATGTACTATATTTTCGATAATTGACGTGCTCGTATTCGTGTCTGTGCCGTGTTGTCGTGTCCGTGTCTGTGCATCATAGATTATCACCTACCACAATCTTATCCCTCAGTAATCGATAATACATAATTTCAGGCGGTTGCATTGGTGCTTTCAGTAAGTATAGCGAAGCCCATGATTTATACCACCGTAAGTATGCAGAAAGCTTCGTTGTTCCATCCCCTTGTTGCCACACGTGTCAGGTACGCTCGCCAATTATTCCACAACTCAATGTATCCTTTGTGGTAGGTTAGCTAATCCACCTCCGCTCTCCCTTAACCGTCCACACGATGAAATCCTCACTCCGTCAGTTCAATGGTACAAGGCTAAACATCCCCGAATTGCTGCATCATCCTATCTGACAAATGCAATTCCACATGATTCTAGCTAATGAGGGGGACACGAGCAGTCACAGAAATCATTGTCCTCATGACAGATTAGAGGCATCCAAACCATAATTGTCTCAGTTTATGACATAAATATCACCATTGGTATTGCGGTAAATGGTGGGTTTTATCCTCTCACTTTCGTTGTAGTTGAGTCTGAATCAATTGAATCTTGGAGTTGTTCTGGCAGATTGGAACAATAGTATAGTAAGTACGATTAGAATTTTTTTTTTAAATTTAAATATTTTTTTATTTTAATAATAATCATAATCATATTCATAATCATAATCAGAGATGCGTCGTCATATCACTTGGGTGAATTTTTTTATTTTCTTCACACGAAGACCGCGATCAATATGGGTGTCTATTTAAGTTGTTTTGTCACTTTTTGTTTCATGAATGAATGACGTTTGAGTGAATTCAAATTTTGGTTCATGCATTATAGGTAGCATTTGCACAGTGTTGCATCTTTCACTCTTCTCTTTGGTCGTGTTTGATTGACTTGACCTTGTTATAGTCATCGAGGTCAGCAATTTGAGTTTATGGTTTTGCATTACAAAAAAGTTTTGCAATTCAATTGCAGGATGACATGTATTAGTCTCCTCATAGATTATATATTGACAAGATGCCTCATGCATTGGGTGTTCATTATATAAACGTTGCCTTGATAAATAGAGTATATTTGAACTCACCAAATATAAGCTTTTAAAACTCAATTACAAGTAGCATGAATGCTGTGAGAGTGGGCCAGGAGCAATGGTTAGTTTGCCTTATTTTTCATTTTGTGAATCACAAAAAAATAGCCTATTTGCAATTCATTGATAAAACCACATACATGTCTAAAAGACTTTAAATTTACATGAAGCCTCATTTTAACAAGGAATATGAGAGATTTTGTTTAGTTTCTCATTTTGCAGTTCATAAATTTGCTGGTATAAAAATATTTAGTTGGCCGCAGGTGTATTTAGTCAAACTTTAATCCCCTTTCTTCTCGTGCTCTTCAACATACCTGGTATTATGAGTAGATTCTATTTATAAAGCTTGATTTTGATTATTCGTATTGATCAAGATTGTACTATTGTCAAACTTCTCAAGTTGAATTCACAACGGCTGAAATAAAACTCAAACCGTTAATTTTCTTTTAAGTTTCACAAAATTGCTTGCTATTCAGCATATCGAACTGGCTAACATAAGAGTGATCCAAACCTATAAAATTAATCAAGTTTTTGTTCTATTGACGCATCTTGTTTTTGCTTATCACAAACAGGAAGCCATGATGAAGGATACCCTGGAACGTATCAAAGAGCCAAATCTGGACTTGAAAAACTTCCTTCTAAGTGCTTATATCCACCCAGTATTCAAGGAGATGGATGAAGATGACAGCGTTTCTTGCTTTGACAAGGATGGAGAGTTTGAGAATGTTCTGGTACCTACCAAGAGGTCTTCTCGCAGAAACACACCAGTGCCCAGCAAATACAATGACTCAGCTTCACCCTCTCTTTCTGATATTGGTAGAGAACAGCAGTTGTGAAATTTGCTAATCTTTGTATAGTTGTGGTGTGTTCACATGTACAGTAGGCCTACTTACAAGATTGCTTCATGTGTGATGTCTGGTAAGTTTGCTATCCCTTCTTCATTTTATGTTTTTATGTTCTCACTGCTGAGTTTTCGATATGGAAGAATCATGAACCTTGTTCACCTAAAGAATTGAGTATGGTGCGCTGAGTAAGGCTTCATTTGAGACGGCTTTCTTACTACTTCTTAAAGCAGCTTTCTAGTACAAAAGTTTAAATTTTTGTACTAAAAAGCTGCTTCTGGAAGCAGTAAGAAAGCCGTCCCAAACGAAGCCTTAGTAATTTTTTTGAACTGAAATTGCAGGAATTCTTCATAGAATTTTAAAAGGCACTTGTTACTAAAGTTGACGTGGAAATGTTTTTCATCAAGAGTTTTGAATTTTAATATGGTGTCTTTTTCACTGATCGAGAGTTGTTGTTAGGTACTAGTAAAAAGATGACCAGGGGATAAATCTTAGCAAATCTCAATTTTGGGAAAATTTTCTCTTTTGATGGCATAAATCTTGATATGAAATAATGCACATTATTTTGGTTTATTTAAATTGTATGGAATTAGCAGCAGCAGTTCTTCATTTACTTCACTTAGGCCCAACTTTCAGTTCATTTTCTACTCAAAATTCTTGTAAAAGAAGCAAATTGCATACATCAACCCAGTCATGATGTGGAGTCTGATTTCTCTCGGTATATTTTGAATTAAATCCTTTAAAATCTGAAAATCATTCACACAAAATCTGGTTCTTAGATTTTTGATTAAATTTAAGCAAGTTCATATATAAGGCAAACTTTTCTTGTAGTATCTTTGAAATTAATGAAACTATCTTTCTATATGATTGTAAATTTAGGCGAATAGTGTAGGACCATGCAAGTACTTGTCCTTATTTTCTGGTGTTTTTTTTTTGTTTTTTACAAATTGTTTTTCTAATTCTTGCAGTTGTCAATGTTCTTATTCGAGTGCTTTCCTAATAGTTGATATCAAAATTGGGCTGTGGTGTTCTCAATAAAAATGGAAACAATAGCCTTTAGGGATAGGATAGTGAGGATTGATAAGATGTATGATATGGATTTCAAGTATCTAATGATTCACATTGAGGGTTACATGTATTAGAATTAGTAAACCCCTCTCTCTCTCTCTCTCTCTCTCTCTCTCTCTCTCTCTCTAAAAAATGAAGCCTATAATTATGACCCTAGAAGATTGAGTTTCCTGGACAAACAAAATTTGAGGGTTCTACTCTCTGTTAGTGATGAAGACTGTATCCTTCAATATATTGGATGAGAAGATCACGGGTGCAACTGTTGACTTCTTTCTGCAAAACAAAGTTTATAATCTTGGTTGATCCATTTTAAATTCGAGTGTGACTCATGCTAAGTTAATCCTTATTCAAACTAAATTTAGTTAAAACAAATTGGGTCGAGTTAAATCAAAATAAGCCAAACTTAGTTCAGTAGAACGAAGTATACTACAAAGCAATAATGTTAGACATCTATTAGTAGTGCAGAAGTTCTTCAATCTGAGAATTACGAATAGTGCTATCAAAATAGAGCATATCAATGAATTCAATCTGATTAGAATTCACCTTAGCTTGGTTGATTTGAACTTCATCAATGAAATTTGTGTAATCTTGGCACTTGTGCTTGATGTTCTGTTAGACTGGTTCCTAGTGGACCGGTCCAACCTGCCCCTTGCCAAGGGCCCGCTTAAGTGTATAGGAGGCGAGCGGCAAGAGAGTGGGAGAGGGAGATGGGGCCCACTAATTCAAATTTAAATGTTTTGGAGCCAAAGGAGGCGGCGGCAAGGGCTGATTTGTCATTTGGCTTAAATGATTAATTGCATGCTTTAAGTAAGGGGGGAAAATTAGGGTTAGGGTTATGTTTGGTTTGTGGCTGATTTTGAGAGACCGTCTTGGTGTCTTGGGATCTAGATTTGTCTAGAGGTTGGGAGAGATTAATCCTCCTCTTGAATTGATGATCACATGTTAGTTGTTTTTCTCAATAAAAATTGTTGTTTTCCTCTGATTTTTCTCAAACTTGTAGAGTTTTCTCGCTGTTTTTTTGTCTCTCTTGTTTGGGTTCACTTGAGATTTTCAAGTATTTCCTAACGTGTTTATCACTTCCAAAGAGTTGTAGAATTTTGATGTCAAGTAGTAATTCATTCAACTATATAAATCTAAAACTTAATGGTGTATATGACTTGAGAAGATATGATAATTAGTTAAGGATCTTTTATTGCTCTGAATTTTGAAAGTAGAGACAGTAATGTAAGGAAATATAATAATGGGGCTAGATCCAAATCTTTGCGAAGGATCCAATCTAAAGTTCATAATAATGTGCTCTAATGATGTGGCAAGCTTTATCCATGTAAAAGGAGATTGTCTACAAGCGAATGGTGTAAATAGTTCAAATTAGTTGCGTGAATCTGTGAATGTTGCAAGTGAAGAAATCTGTGGTGTATTGGTCTTTAGTGTGGATAGTCTTATGAAGTCTTGTATTGTGGATTGAGGTGTGTTGTTTCACTTTACATAAAAAAGTTAGAACTATTTTGTAGGAGATTGAGAAAAGGTTATGAAAGCTTCACAATGTGGAAGACATTCCTAGCTTGAAGTGGAACCTGATCTAGATTGAGGTGTTTGGTGAAGTAAACTTCTTCCTTTTTATTAATACTTAAAAGGTGACCAAGGGTGTTATATCGATCTTATGGAAGTGATGATGACATTTTACATTTGGGACGATTTTCTTACTGCTTCTTAAAGCAGCTTTCTAGTACGAAAATTTTACTTTAAGAAGAGTTAAGAAAGTCAGCTCAAACGAAGCCTAAATTTAGTGAGAGAAGAATATCTTAATGAGATAAAAGTGGTAAAAATTGTGTGGGAAAATAATTTTTATCCTTTTACTCATCTCTCTGAAAGTAGTGAAAATATCTATGTATAGATGTATATATTATAGAATATCATTTAACCACATAAATCCTTATGATATGATGTTCTCTTTCTAGGGGAGTATATAGCCAAAGGGTCTTAGGTTGATAGTTCTAGTTCAACTTGTATGGCCATGATATGAAATAAATGAAATGAATAATAGTGCATGAATGAGCATCCCACTTCATGACAATTTTTCTCTGTTCCAACATGAATGTGATGAAATGATATGATAGTTTATGTGCTAGTATTAATGATATTTATGCCATCACTTGAATTGCTGTCTTATATGTCATGCCTCCTTATATAAGAAATTATGATTAACAAATCAAGTATGATATGATATAACACAATCTTGCTTATTAAGATGATTTGAAATTATTGTCTAGTGTATAATCAAGTAGTCGACCCCATGCTGTGGGATAAAAACTTGATGTTGTTGTATGATCAATTCTTCAGTAAAAAAATAATTTGTGATGAAGTTGCACAAAATTGGTATATGATCGTATATTTTGATTTACATATGGGTGTAAAAAATGTGTTTCGAGTCTAGTTCTGGTCGAACTTGATATTGACCCGCTGTTATTTTACATGACCCGAAGCCTACTCTTTTTTACAAACAGGTCAGAAATCCCCACCCAGACTCGACCCGAGATGGCCAGTTTTTTAAGTTGTGTCAAATATTAACATCCATAAATTTATGTATCATACATATTGTTAATTGGAGATATGGATCATGAGATCTTATCATAGTTTAGAACGTGTTTCTCGAAGTCTCTTTTGTGACTGTTAGTGGCTCTGATAAATATGTATCAGGTGATGTGAGTCCATGATGTTAATATTAACTTGATAAATGAAAGTTGTCGTTATGATGTGAGTCTAAGCCTTCGTTTTGGACAGCTTTTTTTCTCTTTTTTAAAGTTATTTTTTAGTAAAAAAGAAACCCCTTAAACTAGAAATTGTTGTACTAAAAAGCTACTTTAGAAAATAATAAGAAAGCTGTTCCAAACAAAGTCTAAGATGTAACCGATCCTATGTAGTGGGATAAAGATGTGTTGTTGTAGTAGTATGTAATTATAATTTATTATGTTATTTGAATATTTCTCTCTACTTACTGCCATGGTGTATGATGTCCAAGAGCTCCTTGTTTAGCATTTTTGAAGATTTCATTTTAATAAAATCTAAGTCGTTTGCTGAAGTTGTCAATATGAACAAGAACTTGTTCTCTCTCGAACTTTTATTTGGTCCGATGAACGTACGTAGAGCTACGTTCGGCCGGCACTAAGATCGCAGGCACAAAACGAGAAATACCATATATTATTATTATTTCAAATTTATCTTGTTTTAAAGGAAGTAACATTTTAAATAAACATTTATCTTATTTTTTATTAATAACTTAATATAAATTTCATAATTCATTTTTTAATTTTTTTACTGATCGAAATTGTTACTTTCTTTGAAATTCATATTGAGAATTTCAGGACGATGAGTTTTTTTTCTCTCTATTTGTTTCCAAGAAATGATATTAGAACTTGATTGTCATATTAAATCAATTAGAAATAATTCTCTCCAATCATGTAATTAATTATTTATTTGAGATTTTTTATAAAAAGAAAATCTACTTTTGAGAATTGTTTTCTTTAAAAAAAAATTGTAGTTTACAAGTATGAAGTACTTGTAAATAATTTTCAATCACTTTTTCACTTCTATTTTTAGAAACCGAGTAATCAAATGGAATCTTCTTCACTGTTTTTCTTCGTCATTTACATTCATCGTCTCTAGGGGCGTCAATTTCAGGTCACGGGTCGGGTTTGGGTTAAACCTATAATTGATTAGGCACTGTTCGGCCTATGCGGGTTTAGGTCAACCCGAGCCATTTTTGCAAACAGGACAATTTTTCGGATCCAAACCCAACCCACTTTGGGTTCGGGTCAACCCGACCTGACCTGTATATTTTGTGGAGATTGCTTGAGTCACTTCTTCGGCTCCTTCGTTGCAGTTCAACTTCGCTCCTTCGTCGACGACGGGAGCTCGCTCGTTGTGAAGGTAACTTTCTCCATTTTTTTATTGATGTTAGGCTTTGTTCCGACTTCCACAGGATGGCAAGAGGCATGGAGATTGCACGAGTCGCTTCTTCGGCTCCTTCGTTGCAGTTCAACTTCGCTCCTTCTAAGCTTCGACGACTGGAGCTCACTCGCTGTGAAGGTAACTTTCTCGTTGC